ATTTACATAATTTATAGAATTCTTTTGCATCATCGATAGAAATTTCTCTGCGTAGAAATACATGTCTCAACTTCTATTGTAGAAATTTTTGATGTAAGAGTGCATGTTTTTGCTTCTGCCTAACCTTTCTAATATTTGAGTTTCAGAAAAGAGATAAAAAAAAACATATAAAGGGCAGTATTTCGAATTTATTGCTGTTTATCGCTTATTAGTGATTTTAACTTTTGCCATTTTAACTATATTATTATATTATTACCGAACCATGTCAGATACAATTTTTGACAAAGTTTATGATTTTCTTATCACTTTTCCGATAGATTACATTACACCCTTTTCTGTTATTAATGAGGCAGTGGAATGTGACCCTTCAATTTAACAGGAAGAATTAAGAGAAATTGTAACTCGTGCTGTTAATACGTCAGTGGATACATATTTTGGGAATTCAGAGGCATTGGAAAGATTGAACAGAATTTGTACACAGGTTAGTGGTTTTCTTAAATATTTTTCAATGTCATCTGATAAACAGCACCTTTCCTATATTGGATTCTCGAATTTGTGAAGGTTTTGGTCAAGGGGAGAGCCTATTAGCCTATTATTATAGATTCAACTTTATAAGAAATAGAGGTAATCCTGGATGCCCATTAGTCTGTTAGTACCGGGAGTTCAACACCTAGGGATGCATAAGGTCGCTCTGACTTTAGTCTTGCAAGTTTTGAAATTTAAATGAGAAAAAATGGGGTGGCATGGATCTGCAGGCCACAGAGAAATTGCAACTCTGTTATAATATTCTGATGACACAAGCTTGTGGTATTAAACTAAAAATATACGTATTAGCAAGAAATCTAATATATATATCTTTTTTTTTGCGCCAGTTTAATGATGCCTTTGAAGGGGTTCGCAGTGTTAACAATGTAAAAGAGGCAAAATTTGAAATTCACCTTAGCAAACAAAAAATTGCTGAAAATATAGATGACTTAAAAAAGAAACTTTCAGTAAATATGATACACCAATTATGCTACTGAGTTATCTTGTGCTGAATATTTACAAAGAAATTCACATTTTAATCATTTTTTTAGCGAAGTTCCTCCGATCACGCTCTTGAATTACTCGAGAGGTTGAACAGTTTATCAACAAAAGATTTAAAATGGTATGATCCACTTGCTAGCCAGGTGATAAGTGACAAGTTTAAATTAGTTCAAAACCTGGAAGAGACATCAGAAAAATCTTTTATGGAGCCATTTAATAAGATGCAAGTAGAAATATCTCTCAATATTCAAAATATATGTACTAACTTTGTGGAAAGTTTTCATGATGACGATATGGAGGATTTACCACAAAAGCCTTCTCATGATAATTCTTGGAGGGAAGATGAGGTGACTCTAGCGAATGTTGCAGAAAATATTCTTAGTTTTTTAAATAGTATTTGGAGAAACTCGGCTTTTGATGCCGAGTTTGCGAGTGACCAGAGTGAGGGGATCTATGTAACTGATGTAATAGTTCCTCTCATTCGTGCTATGCTAAACAAGCTTCTGATTAAAAAATATGCTTTTCTTAGCAGATAGGTTTGATAAACTTTATTTTAAATTAGATGAGCTAGAATCAACTAATTTATATTTTTTGTTTAGTGCCAAAAGACAAAGTTTGGCAAGCGCAGACAGAAGAGGGAGTGGTAAACAACCTGACATAATATTTTTAGAGATGCATCGCAAAAAGATATATGAACTTATATATGTTGAGTGTTCGCATCTAATATGCACTGGGCATAAGAAAAAAGACAATAAAGTAAAATTATGGCGTGAAATGAACGACGGATTGTGCTATATTTATAGAAGTTGCATACCTGCCAGAAATGAATTTAGAATTCTTGGTCTACAGGTTGCGGGTAGGGATGGGTTCAGTCGGTCACAGTCAGTCATAGTCAGTCATTACCAGTTATTGACAGTTAACCGGTTAACCGCTATCGGTTATATAAGGTTAAATGGCCGGTCATAACCAATCGATTATTTAATCTATTATTTGGATTTTTGCTCTGTAAACCCTTCTTCGACTTCTAATAAAGTAGTAGAAGAAGAAATTTCGGCTATAATTATAGTTAAAAAATCAATATTGACCCAGTTGATAATGAGAAATGAGAATTTTAATTCTCATGACTATATATTTCCTTTTTTGTTTACTTAAATAAGATCGCAAAAATTAAAATATTCATATCTCATGATATATTGGGTTAATTTTA